TGCCGAACTACTGTTAAACTGATGTAAAGCGGACAATTCGGATATCTACCACAATTGCATATAGCGTTACTTCACATTCGAATCTATCTTTACTCGCTACGCATTTATTTGGAAGACCTACGAAGAATGCTTTAGACCAATCGCTAATTCGGATTTACCAAGCCGGGTACACCATAAACTTCAACAGGTTTAAACAGAAATATTATGCCGATTTAAAAGTTGCAGCTTCTAATTCTTCCTCCAATCCAGCAGATTGGAGGAAGAATCGCTGCAAATCACACGTTTTACGTTTACAATGAAATGCACTTATTGTAATCGCTTTTGGATCGGTTGCTAAAGCGAGTAATGATAACTGATCACCGAGTAAACACGACTTAAACTTTTCGTTTCTGAATACACCTATTCTAACAACAATAAACGAATTATTCGTAATTAATAGAGATGTTATAGAACCTAAATAAATGACACTCGCACTTAAACTAATAAAAATACACTGTGTTAATTCAACTTTGTAGAATTATTTTTAAATTAATGAAACCGTTCTGTTTCGTATGAAAACTCAATTGCTTTATATACAATATGAAAATTACAAAATGAAAGAAATAAAACTTCAAACATTTCTTGTTTTGATGTTAAATAAAATCTAAATACGAATATTAATAAGAAAAAATACTTTTGTTAACATTTTCTTCGTAACAAATACTGTTGTTCATTATCATTACGATATTTAATAATATGATAATTTAAATTACGTTTAAAACGGAACTTTTGTAAGCAATAAGTACACGATAACGGCTATTACTCCGAATGAGTTCGAATCAGAGCTGTTTTCTGTGTAAAACTTCGTTTGCAATGGTCACAGGTAAAAGGTTTCTCCCCTGTATGAGTACGCAGATGATCAATCAAGACATGTTTGTATGTGAAACTTCGTTTGCAATGGTCACAAGCGAAAGGTTTCTCCCCGGCGTGAGTCTTGACGTGGTAATGTAGACTGCCGGCATAGTTGAACTGACGAGTACAAAATTTGCAAGACAAGAGCCCTTCTCCAGTGTGAATCCTTTGATGATATTTTAAATTATACTTCGAAGCGAATTCTTTCTCGCAACTGTCACATCGATACTTCCCATTCTTTCTCTTCTGGAGGTTTAAACCTGTAAAATACGAGAAATTTTAAAACCTAATGATCAAAACTCCCTTCAATTTATTGTCAATCAAATATCTAAATTTAAGCGTACTAATTCTAAAGAACTGTTAAAGTTTTGAGTGCAGATACAAAAAGACTTTTCCTTCTATCAAATTTCTTTAAACTAAAATTTAAACCTTACAATTAACTGGATCACATCACATCACACCTTAGATCACACATAAACTGCTTACGCCGGTATTCACAAATATTGCCAAACGCGTACAAATACAATACAATCACAAATTAATGTCATTTATACATTTTTTTCTAAACAATTTATGTGAAGTGTATGTCGCAAAATAACATATTCGAAAATAATTTAAATTATCTTCTTAATTTTTCTCTTTTTCTTCTTTTGCGGGAAAGATGGTCTCTTTGTTGTTATATTCTTGCGTAGTTTCCTAACACTGGCTTCAATTTTAGTGTTTCGTTAACGACAGAAGTCGAACACATCCTTCAGCAGTTTTCGTGTGTCCCCGGAAACAATTCTCTACTACAAAGACGTTCTTTATTGGTTGAAAGTGAATCTGAAAATAGCAAAGTTCGGAATGAAATCAGATACGAGAATTACGTCATACATTATTTTATATAACAATTAAAATAATTTTAGAAATTCTTTCTTGGAGACGTCACGCCACAAAATTAAAGCCGGGTTCGAAATCTAAAAAATAAACGAATTCGAATTAATTTTCTTCTCTAGGAATACGTATGAAATACATTGATAAAATAATATTAATTATTAATACGATCTTTAAATAGTTTTATCTAAATGTTTAGAAATAAGTAGATCAGATAATACCGTATTTTACGAAGATCCTTTCCTTTCATTTTCGTATTTACAGCTTTGATTGTTTTTATAATTTCAAATTCTTCAATAATTTCTAACCTTTCCTCGAAAATTGTGGTTCGAAAAATGCTGGAAAAAAATGACAGATCTACTTACGTTCGTCGACATTAAGTCGAGAAACTTCAATCGACGAAGAGACTTAAAGCACTTTCAATACTTTTTACCAAACTCTAGGGCCATTCGATATTTCGCGAAATGTTAATCGTCTTCGGCTTCCGAGGAAATCTTCCTTCTTTTTCCTTTCTAATGTAATTGTCAAAGAGATTTTCTTCTTCGAATCGACACTACAAATAATCATTTTAAACATAAGTAAGTGTACAACTAGATTTTCGATTGTTGAAATAAAATGGCGACGGTCAAAAGGATGACGAAACAACTAACCTATCTCGAGAATTCCATAAGCTTTTATTCGTATGACAAAACGAGTGAAAATGCGACAGAATGCGAACGTCTAGACCCCGAGCGAGCGCTAATTAATATTTATGTTCCCATTGTATTGTATTGTTATCTTCGATCTTTCAAAATTTGTCCTCCGAAAGAGTATTTGAAACGATTCTTTAGTTTTAAAATATTTCGTACGTAATTAATTCATTCACGTTTTCGTAAAGTTAGTTTGGATGACGGCGAAAGTTGTTTACAAGGAAATATAACACGTGTCCTATTTCGAAGGTGGGGAATAGACGCGTCTGTTAACGAAGGTTTCGCCGTATTACGATTTCTTGTTTACTATTTACGGTTTCGAGATAATTTTAGAATTGCAGAAGTTCGTAGCCAGAAAAGATTTTCAGACGCGCAGAGTGAGAAAATACCAACTTTTAATTTGCCTTGTATTTTATTTTATTCGTAATTCCACTTTATAACCTTACGACTTACTGCATTCCGTTCTAAATGTAAACCGAATTAGCTTTAACGGGAAACCCGTCAACTTTGACCCGTCGATCCGAAGTTTCGACAGCGTCTCATCGATAACCGAAATGGCTTAACTTTAAAATATGAACTTTCTAGACCGAGTAGTTTTTTTGGTTAATGTCCAGAGTCGTAGACTGTCATGGCGGATCTTCCTGTTTTAGCCTCGAAACCGGACCGCTTTGGAGACGACGTGTCACGTGACGACGCGAGCGAACGGCGGCGGCTGTCATAGCGGCTCACCGCTGATTCCAGCAAACAAAAGGAAACAGTGGGGACGCACGTTCTAACCTAACCTAACCTATTCTAATAAATTACCACAATTATTACCGATTAAATTATTAGAATAGGTTAGGTTAGGTTAGAACGTGCGTTCCCACTGTTTCCTTTTCTTTTCTTTGCCGGAATCAGAGGTGAGCCGCCATGGCAATCCACGTGTCTGGACTTTAACCAAGAAAAAAAAGAAAAGGAAACAGTGGGGACTCACGTTCTAACCTAACCTAACCTATTCTAATAAATTACCACAATTATTACCGATTAAATTATTACAATAGGTTAGGTTAGAACGTGCATCCCCACTGTTTCCTTTTCTTTTTGTAGAATCAGAGATGAGCCGCAATGAGTCTACGTATATGGACGTTAACCCGCGCGTCGGTTTTCCCCGTTTATCGCGGCGCAGCAGCCGCCGCCGTTCGCTCGCTCGCGTCGTCACGTGACACGTCGTCTCCAAAGCGGTCCGGTTTCGAGGCTAAAACAGGAAGAGCCGCCATGACAGTCCACGACCCTAAACATTAACCAAGTTGGTTTTATATGTTTGTAGTTGACTGAGGAGGGCAAAACGAAGCCCGAAACGCGTAACGAAGCCCGTGTAAGAACGCGTCTCAACAAAAACTGAAATAAACGAATGAGTTATGCCAAGTGTTGATTATTACGCTGCATTGCGGTTTTGAAAAAATAATATAAAGATACAACACGGTTTCGAAATATGAAAGAAGATTGATATGTGTTACCACGTATGCATTCGATACTGTAAATAACTTCACATTTACGGTATCGAATGCAACTCCGAAACTGTAAATGGGAAGAGGGTGGTGTGACACGTCATTTAGGGTCAGAATTTCACAAGGAATTGATTGCCGAAAGATTTTATTGACCTACTTCGAACAGTTACAGAGTTACTCACGTTACGCAATATATATATATATATATAACATATTTAAAATTTTGTAAATTTTGTATATATTTTCTGTATTTTACCTTGTTAATCTCGTCCCTTTTGGAATGAGGTTAACAGCACCAATAAAATAAGGGGAGTTCGAGTGAGGACCCGAAAGTGAACGGACGTGTTATTTTATGGTCTCCAATTTTCTTTGTCTTGTTCAACCTACACTCGACCTTACGACTACGACTGCAAAATAATACGACAATTTATAAGAGTCGACAGGA